AATTTCTTCTTTTCCATACTTGGTACACACCTGTCTTATATAGTGTTATTTTGCCCCCACCCAAAAAAAAAAAAGAACAATCCTGTTAAAAATCATTAAAGTCAAGCACCAAACTCCAATGAAATACCATCATTATTTTTATGTTACTAATTGTTAAGGTGAATTTTTTAAAATATATATATAATTAATCATTATAAAAATAACAAATTCTTTTTTCAGATTTTTATTATCAAAATATGGGTTTTTTATTGATATAATATTGATTGATTGTCGACAAAAACAATAAGATATGTAACACCGATAGAAAGTTTTCGTTGATAAAAATCATAATTTTTGTAGTGCCTGCTTATTAGTAAGAGATACGTGTGAGTTTTGTCTCCAAGGTAAGGGAAAGTTGATCATCCCCTTGAACTGTGGAAAAAGGTTTTTTTTTTTTTTTCCACATAAAGAAGCAATTATAAAGATGGAGAAAGAGGGGGGAAAAAGGTGAAAACATTAACAAAACAATGAAAAGGAGGTGGGGGAAATGGTGGTGGTGGTGGTGGTGGTGGTGTGGTGATGTGGTGGGGGAGGGGGAAGTGGGCTAGTTGCTTGAGGATGTTTGCCTTGGATTTTACCCTAAATAGGAAGTTCTGTTTTGTGCAAGTGGGGGAACCTTGTTCTTGTCCTTTCCCATTACCCCTTTATATGGCTTCATGACTTTGACAAATTTTCCAACCTTTTTCTCTCTTTTCAATTTTTATTAATATTTTAATACTAGCATTACAAATAGGGAAAGCCCACTAGCTATTGGAAAATTCAAATCAAATCAATTGATCTCCATTTTGATGAGTTCCCAATTGATGATCCTTTGGCTTTTTTCTTCAACTAGGTAATTGTTCTTTTTTATTTTTCTTGCTTTGCATGAAGCAAATCTTAATGTTGCATAATTGATTTTTGCAAAGAAAGGCGAATGGAAACTTTTAATTCTCAAGTCTAGATTATCAAAGTTCGTCCTTTAAAAAAGTCGAGAGTCCCTTGTATAATTGAATACTCTTTATAATTATTGACATTTACTCTTTAAAGTTACAAGGTATTTGAAAAGATTCTTTGCTACTGTCATATTTGAGGCCAAAATATATAATAGATCTTTACAATATATGAACATATATATATATGTATGTGAAGAAAATTGAATTTTTGGAAGTTCACAACCCTTGGGTCTAGAAATCTTAGATACATGAACCTTAGGCCAACAACACTCATGGAACTAGGCCATCATTTCTAGTTTGGAAGTAGATAATTTGTCCAAAACCTTGTGTAAAAGATTATAGACAATATCTTATAGGATAAGGACATTTGGCTTCATAATTGAACTGTACCAAAGATTATGTTCCAAGAGCTAGTGTTGAGACAAATAAAAGAAGGCAACTCTTACATCCAAAGCCACGAAGGCTTGTCGATTGCATATAATAATTTAGTAATAGTAACATTCTTACATTCAAATTGAAATTCCTTCCTTCAAATTAACTTCTTTTCATAATTTAACGATTTAAAGAAAAAAAATGAAAAATAACATCCGAATGTTTGATTTAGTAACCAGTATATTATTCCCTTACTTAAAAAATAAAACTCGAATCCATTTTTTTTAAATAAATGAAAAAATTAAGATTTCTCAAACTAATTTTACTCCGTACAATTATGATCGTAAGTTTAAATTTTTCTCATGAATGCTATATGATAGTGCAATTGCAAACCCTATTGTCCTACCATCCTCTTTTTGAAAAAATCATAAAACCTTTCTTTAGTACCTTTGATGAAAATGTCTTCTCGACATATTTCTTTAGTAAACCTATCACTATTCAGTTCTTTCTCAGATATTTTGTTGCGTAAAAGATACTAGGGTCTTCACTTTCACGAAAAGACTTAGTCGTTGGTTTTGATATTGTTATCGACAAATTAGGCCTTACCCTACAAAAATATGCATTAATTGAAATTAGTAATATTCATGTTTTTGTTGCTTCATGACCTTCTAGCCAATAACCAAGTCCATGTTCAAGATCAAGATTGGGCCATTACCCATTAAAACCAAAGAATCATTCATTTATTTGGGTTAGTTCTCAGCCCAAATCACAATCAACCCAAAAAGATTTTCATTTGGATGAAGTCCATGATCATTGTTCATGGCTGCCTTTGGGTCCTCACTCAAGTTCAAGATTATGAATCTTTTGAAGTATTGTTTAGCCCAAAGTGACAGACATGTATCAATGAATAGGTCATAGCCCAAATCACAATATCTTAATTTTAAATGAAACCCAAAGCTTAAAAATATCTAATTATGGTGTCACGAGTCAAGTGATATCTATTTGATTGACTAAATTATTAAAAAAAATTAAATTAAATATTGATAAGTAAATAAAATGAAGGATAAGCAATTGTTTTATTTTTGTTTCTATTTGTCTTTTCCAACAAAATAAAAAAACAAATATGTTTTATTAAGCGAAAATGGAGATTCTTGGTATATCGTATTCAGAAACCAAAATTTGAATTAAATACAATGAATAAGATGAATAAAATAATGAAGATTTGAGAAAACTTAACATGAAATTTAGGGTTATGCCGGTTAATTGTAGCATCCATATGATTATATGGTTTGCTTCATCAACTTTTCTTCTCCTATACCTTACCATAATGTATTCTTCTTGGTAGGTTGCATTTAATTTTATTGTATTTAATTCTATATGTTTGGTTACATTAAATTATTTACATCCTCAGTAGGTAATAGAAAACAATAATGTTGACCCTAATGTCTTTTTCTTGAATTGTCTGCAAAAACATGTTTGTAAATTTGATTTATTATTTAATGCTAGTTTAGTTATTAATTTTTTTTATTGGGAGAATAGTGACTATCACTGCCTAATTCATGTGCAAAAGCTAGTTGTTTTTTTTTTTTTTTTTTTTTGTCATTTTCATATGTTGCATCATTATTTACTGACTTTGTCCTTGAAAAATATTGTAAGAATATACTCTTATTCTTTTATCGTGATTTGTTGTTCGCATATGGAATAATACTAGTGACAATGATGTCAAAGAATATGCTTTATAGCAAAGAAAAATTAACCTCTTTCTCTCGAAATGTAAATATCAATAGTTTATGAGCAACATTCGAATTTAATGAAAGAAAATATTTCTTTATTCCCTTTCCATTGATATAAAAGAATCCGAAAATGCTTAACAACCCAAATTAGACTTAATTATTGTTTTAATGCTTAAGAGAATTAAATTTTAAAATTCATCCTCAAAATAGTATGAAAATGATTGAAACATAAGATTGATTTTGAGTTTAACTCTTAGATAATACACATTAAATGATTAAAATAATTTGATTAATTCGAGTTGAGTTGAATTTACGAAACTATACGATAAAGGGCATTTCTATGATTCATTCTTTTCTAAGTTATCCTTTTAATGTCACTTTATTATGAACTAGATCTTAGTAATTTAATCATTTAGAAAAGAAATTTGACCAACCTCCTAGCTAAATAGGATAGGGAGTTGTGGATTGACATTGAATTGGGTATATTTTCGGCTAAAATATGGTCCTATGTTGGACCAACTCACCTACTATCTAATTCAAAACTTCTTTTTATAATGGGAATATTGGCCACCTAGTCTCATTTAGTGACATATGAACATTCAAACCCACATTTGTTCAAAAGATTTATGTTCTGGCTACCATTCTTACATTGACGTCCAATCAAATCCATGCACCGAATTTCCTTCAAAATATCGAATAATTCGAGGGTTTTTTTCAAGTATTATATCTCATTTTTACGGTGAAAAGAATAGTATGGGTCATATTTCAAAATCTAAAACCAGATCAAATCTCACAACAAATCAACAAATAAAAGGGGGAAAAAAAGTGAAAGGTGGCAATAATTATAAAAGGGGAGTAAGAAGTGGGGAAAATGAACTAAAAAGACATACTTTTTTGCTGTGGTCACATGGAAAAGAAGCTAGAAAGTGAAAAACTAAAGCTGAGTTTGCCACAGTATTCATAGAGAAACAACATCATTCCATTATGGTGTTGAAGTTGGGTCTTCTTCTTCTTTATTTTTTGCTGACCCTCATTAAAAGTAGGTTCCACCAATAAAATAAATAACCCAATGTACCCCAACACCCAAAGTGGGTCCAATTGATTGCATCGAAGCACAATCTTTCACTACATTTGATCTTACATTATACTAAAAAGAAATGGGTTGATGAAGGAATTGGAAGATCTTTGATCTAAGTTCTCAAATTGCCCTTTTTTTTTTTTTGAACCTTTATAAAGTGGTGTCATAGAAGATGACAATAAGTGCTTGATTCATTTTTAAAAGCACTTGTCCTCTTCTTTGAATAAGCAATCTATAACATTTTGCTACTTTATTGTTCATATCTTCACAATGTTATTTATTTTTCTTTAATTTCTTAAATTTTTTGGTTCTTAATATAGAAATAAAATATGAATTATATTATCCAAAAAAAAAAGGAATAGCAATATCAAAATCAACATATAGAAAATTTAAAAATCTATGAAAGCCCTACGCCAACGTAACTGGAAAATTTAACACATTCAAAATTCAAACATTGCATACGATCTAATATTTTAAAAATCAATTAATTTTCATTTGTCGGGAAGATTTTTTATCTTTGTCAATTATTATTATAATAAAATCAAAATATGAAAAAATTTTAATTTATTCGTTCGTATTCTGTAAAAATCTATCAAAATATATATAAAAAAAAAAGAAGACAAATTCTTGAAGGTAAAAAGTTGAAAAAAAGGGTAAAAAAATAAAGTAGGCAATGAAAATGGTCCCTTAAAAGGACCACTTGACATGCCACCAAGAAAAACACAAAATATATATAAAAAAAAGGAAAAATCTAATCCTCCAGGTGTAAGATTTTAATTCCTCCACGTGTCCTATGTGAAATGGGACCCGCAAACAGGAACCAAAACCCCACATAAACCTTCTCATCGGGCTCTCATTTTTCAAAGTTGGTAGGAAAGAACATCTCTTCCTTGGCTTAAGTTTCACAACAGAAAGAGAGAGAAAAAACAGAACATGCAGAAGTTGAAACATGGTATTTTGTTTATGTCGCGTTCCACTTTTGACCCTCCAAACTTACTTAATTTACCCGCTAACAACACCCAAAGTTCCAAAAACACTTGAGGGAGAGAGAAGTGTTGTTGTTCTTTTTCATGGAGGTGACCTCTGAGGTGGAAGCTGTGATACAGTTTCTAAGGAAGAATGGATTGAGAGAAGCCGAGAAAGCTCTTGAGGAAGATATGATGGAGAAAAATGAAGAAGAAGAAGTGGGAGCTTTTGATTTCGAGAAATTCTTGTTCCCCATGCCGCCACCGGTAAAGATTCCGGCGAGCATCCGGAGATCGGAGGTGGATGAGAAAGTCAAGTCCAGTGATGGGTCGGATTCAGATGGTGATGAATTTGTCAGCTTGAGGTCTTCTACTAGTGATGTTTGCTCTTCAGGTAAAAAGGAAAAGAAAAAAAAAACTTTCGGAACTATTATTTGATCTTCTAATGATTGGTTTTAATTGGAATTAAGTTGTTTTTAATCGTTCTTAGCTAAAGTTGTGCCTCTTTGTATAAAAAAATCACATCTTTCCCAATTCTTTTGCTCTTTTAGTGATGGTTTTGAGTTGGAATTTTGTTGGTTTTAACATCTGGTATTCGTTTTTTTCTAAAGAACACATCTTTTTATTTCTTTTGCTATTTTGGTTATTGTTTGGAGTTTAAATTTGGTTGATTTAACTTAATTGGTGTTTGATCGAATTGAGTTTGTTCAAAAGATTCTTGCTTGATCATGAACTTTTATTGCTGTTCTCTAGTCACTTTTAGTTTTAGGTGATGTAAGCAACAGGCCAATTGCTATAAATAAAGATTTGAGTGAAGGCCTTTCTCTTTTTCCCTTTTATTCTCTTTTCACTTTCTCTGGAGTGGGTTTAAATTTGAATGGGTTGTTTACTTGTTCATCATGTTTTTAGTAAGTGAAGTTACAGTTTTAACTCTAATGGACGTTAGAACTGATACATTTATCTTAATAATGCCATAAGATCATGAAACTTAATTTAATTTCCTGTGAATTCTCATAAACCAAATGTGTATTCGTGTGAATGTCTTGAAACCAGATTAGTTATGCATCTTTAGTGCTTTCTTTTTTTTGGCCAGTGAATTCATCTTTAGTCATCAGAGAAAGAACTTTTTCTCTTTTCCAGGAGTAGACTTCAATTTATGCTGCTTATGCATTGTAAATCTCCCTACTCTGATCGTAGGATTTAGCCGTTGCTTTAATATAGTGTGCACTTGAACTTCTCCCAATGCATGGAATCTCTTTTCACCACTATCTTTATTCTATTAGTGCTTTTTTACTCACAGCTATGTAAGGATCACCTTTTTTTGTTTGTTTGAGACATTCACAATACATTACCATTTAGTTATGCTGTGGAGGTTCTCCAAGAAATTTCATCATTTTTGTTTGCTACTTCTGTCTTTTGACACTGACATTTCTAAGTCACTACCAAGTGCTGACAGATCCTTTTGTACTGTTAAAGAATACTGAGAAAAGAAAAACCTTACATGGTCCAATTTTCTCTAAAATAATTTGTAACATTGAAATTATTATTGTTTTTTTTTTTTGCCCTGTTTTCAATATCTAGGTGGCTGCTGGGGAGATGTGTTAGTTAATAGTGCATGAGAGAGGTCCAACTGTTTTTCATTTTGCAGACTTTGTGAATCCATATGGACTTCATTCTGCATCTCAGGCTGATTCCGATACTTCATCAGATAGATTATCTCAATTCGGAACAGCACGCGAGTATCCTGATTTTGACATGCAGAATGACTTGTATTGGTATGATGATAAAGATGAAGGCTACTTCAAGACTCCATGCTTTTCTGGGTCAGACTTCTATGGCTGTCCAAGTGAGGATAAGTTTGTCACAACTTCAGAGACAGAGAAGCAACAACATAATACACTGAGTTTACTTAACAAATCTGAAGGATTTCAAACAGAAGCAAGCATTGATTACTTGGACAAGCCATGCCTTTATAATATGGCCTGCATAAATGGGGAAACTGAGGTTCAAGCAATGGATTATTATCGTTTTGATAAATGGAATGGGCTTGAAGGGGACATTGAACCGGAGTTGAAGAACTGTGCTTATGGTTGTTCACTTCCTCTTTGCAAATGTTGTGGGGCACCAGGTCCTTATGATGAAAATCCTGTGAACTTCAGCTACTTGAGCTCCAAAGAAACTGATTTGGGTGATCTTCAGTTAAAGGCTGCTGGAGACATTGACACAGATTATAATAGAGGTTCTGAACATAAATCTGACAAAAATGTTTACTCTGCCAAAAGGGGTTCAAACGACTGGATTGATGGGTTTAAAGATGCTTCCGACTTAGTGCACCAGATTGCTGAGAAAGATTTGTTTCCCAATACAACTGATAGTTATGGAATTGAAGATGATGAAGACAATAGAGAACTCAGTGAACCTAAGGCTGCTGCAGAGGGAGAGGATAACACTGGGGATGAACTTCTGATGTACTCTAATGAGGAAGAATATGAAGTATTCAATTTGCGGATCGTCCACAGGAAAAACAGGTTAGCTGCTATTCAATTTCTCATATCGTCATTGTTATGTAAATTAATACAGAATTTATATATCAGACTTAAGCAAATTAGTGAGTAATCTTGTTTAAAATTGATAAGATGCAGGGCAGACTTACCTGCTAGAACCTTTTGTCATATTATCTAGTTCGTACTGCCTCTAAACTCATCATGCTAAAAGTTTTTTCTTTATGAATATTTGACGATGTTGCACAGCAGGTTAATGTGCAGAAATCAGTATAACTCAAGTGTTATGCCATCTACAGGACTGGATTTGAAGAAAACAAGGACCTGCCTATTGTGCTAAATACTGTAATTGCTGGCAGATATTATGTAACAGAATACCTAGGTTCAGCTGCTTTTAGTAAGGTTGTTCAAGCACATGATCTTCTCACGGGAATAGATGTTTGCCTGAAGATCATTAAAAATGATAAAGATTTTTTCGACCAGAGTTTGGATGAAATTAAACTTCTAAAGCTAGTTAACAAGCATGACCCTGGAGATGAGCACCACATTTTGCGTCTCTATGACTACTTTTATCACCAGGTATGTTTAAAGAGTAAATTAGTAATTCTTTCCACCCCCTTGTAAAAAATGCAGATTGTGCTTGAAACAATCAATGGTTTAGTAAAATAGCTATTGCCAGTAAAGGAAATCATACTTTCTTGTTACTCTCTATTCTGATTATCTAGAAAAGCCACTTCATTAGTGTTTATTTTGTCGAGCCCCATTTTGTTTCTATTGAATACAGTGATATCTTTATGCAAAATCTATCCAGGAGCATCTGTTCATCGTCTGTGAGTTGCTTCGAGCAAACTTGTATGAATTTCAGAAATTCAATCAAGAATCTGGCGGAGAAGCTTATTTTAACCTCAGCAGGTTGCAGGTTTGTTCAAACAGCTATTGCCTTGGCTGCACTCTTCTTTTAGTTCATTGTTTCTAAACTATAACTCTTACCTGGGATTGTTTATAAGTGATAATCTTCTAGGTTTAATTCAAATAACACATCCAGCATGACACATAATAATTGGCTGTTGATATGCTCTCACACAGGTCATAACTCGTCAGTGTTTGGAGGCCCTTGATTACTTACATGGCTTGGGAATTATTCACTGTGATCTAAAGCCTGAGAATATTCTTATCAAAAGTTATAGAAGATGTGAGATAAAAATTATTGATCTTGGAAGCAGTTGCTTTCAGACTGACAATCTGTGCCTATATGTTCAATCTCGTTCCTATAGAGCCCCTGAAGTCATCCTTGGCCTGCCATATGACAAGAAGATTGACCTGTGGTCTCTCGGATGTATCCTTGCTGAGCTATCCTCTGGGGAAGTATGTCTTAGTTTGTCATAGCTTGTCAATGTCTTGAATTAAAGTTCATATATTAATACTCATTCCATCTGATGTTTGTAACCAACTCTAAGTAAATTTTCCTTGGGAGCAATTTAATCTATGACTCATTTTAAGTATCTATGTTTTTTTCAGGTGCTGTTTCCAAATGATGCAGTTGTAATGATCCTTGCCCGGATGGTCGGAATGCTAGGTCCTTTTGATCTGGAGATGTTGGAGAATGGACAAGAGACATACAAGTATTTTACAAAAGAATATGATCTGTACCACATAAACGAGGTTTGATTATGGTTAACTATTTCATGGGTTTACTTTGTGAAATTTCAATTCCATGTTTGACAGCATTCAATTTATAAGTGAATTATGAAAATTTACTGGTTAGTTCATCCAACTCCATGATGAACTCATACTGTTTTTTCTCTATCCAGGAGACAAACCAATTAGAATACATTATTTCTGAGGAGTCTCCACTGGAGCATCATCTGCAAGTTTCTGATGTTGGGTTTCTCGATTTTGTTAGACATTTGCTTCAGATGAACCCTCAAAGGCGCCCAACTGCAAGGGAGGCATTACAACACCCATGGCTTTCCTACTCATACTAAAGCAGAACTCCTGAATCACTGGAGGAATGACTTTTCCTATGAGTATTAGCATTCATCGAGCAGAATGGATTATACGGGTGCAAGTCCGAGTAAAATCTCCAATTTCAATTTTGGTTTATGTATAGCTGTACCACTGATCATACTTCATATTTATTCACATTTTTTTCTGTAAAAAACTCATCCCCCCAGTTTTTTCCCCTCTACTTTGTTAGGATTGTAAAACGCAAGCCCTTTGATTTGAGTGACAAGAAAGATACAATAAAACCATTTAGTGCATTGATTGGAATTCTTTTATGCCAGTGACTCTCTCTCTTGTTATGCAGCATAATCAACTCATTTTTCCATTTCATTCATCTGCATCAGAACTAATACTTGCTCCAGTAACCGTTTATGCTCTTCGCAACTTCTGTCGCTAAATCTAAAAATCGAGTTCCGTTTCTCCTCCACGGTAGAGCTTTGTGATACTTCAACCATAGCCGAAACAGGAGCTGCTGCCTGCAAATACCAGAAATGCATCACTGCCTATACTTTTCATGCACGGTTGTCTTTTGTTTTCTATGATGAATGCCATCCCAGGTGCCTTGCGGTGACTGTTCCAAGGTGCACGTGGTCCAATATCCATCGGGAACATCTCCGAAAGCTGTCAGCAAAAAGCCTTGTGAAGTTGTGATTGTCACATTCTCAGAGCAAACAAAGGAGAAACTGGCCAGTCTAGCTAGCGGCATGTGGAGAAAATTTCAGTTTCTCCTACATGGGCCACATGTGAAAACTGACCTCCCTTCCATCCCCGCCCACCCCATGATCCATTTGTGGACAACAAGGCTCAGACAAGCCTTAGTTTTGTCAGCCCAAAACTTCAGTCTGTCCTCTGTCCTGTCCTTGACTGAATCTTATTGCAGAAAACTAAGCAAAGCATCAGTTCCAAGAACAACATATGCTTAAAAGGGTTTTGATCATATCCAAATCAAAGGTTGCGATTTGACCAAGCGTTTGATTAATGCCTTGTAACGAGCAAAAGCTTGTCAATTAGGAGATAAAGTTGATGAATTTTGTTTTTATTTTATCAATATTACAAAGAACAAAGCATTTCCACAAAGAAATCAACGTCAAGTCCAAAGTCCAACAGCAATGCTGACAAATTGGTCATAATCTAACATTTATTTGCAGCATATTCCATTTCTTTATATCATTCGAAATTCTTAATGTCTGCTTGACATTTTCCTGTTTTTGAATTAATTATTAGAATTATAATGACCTAAATTATTATAATAATTTACGAGATAATCAAAGGTAGAATAACAAGTTATTTCGAGACATCCGAAAAAGGAAAGATAGATTTAAAAAAACCGGTGGGAGTATTAATAATTATTCGATATCATTAAATATATAATGTTTGGAAAGGTTAATTTTTATTTTTTATTAAAAAAAACAAAAATAAGTGACGTGGAAAATGAGAACAGGTAAGCTGAGTGGGCTTAAGCACAGTAGATTGCTTTCCCGCAAGTAATAATTGGCAGGGACAGTGTCATAAAAGAACCGACGATTGTCTCTTCTGATTGGCTGATTCGATCCAATGGAAATTTCCCTCGTCTTCGCTTCCCTCTTTGGTCTTCAAAATCTTTTACACCACCACTTTCTCTATTAGCGCGTGAATTCACTCCTTACTTTGAGTCCAAAATGAATTTGTCCACTTCATTTATATATTAATTTTCACAAATATTAAAGTTGTAATTTTGATATAAAAAATAAATAAATCATGAAAAATAAAATTATAATTTAAAAAGTATTAATTTTATAAAAAATAAAAAATTATTTCGAGACATCTAAAAAACTTAATTAAAAATTTATTAAAAATAAAAAATCTTTAATGACTATTCGATATGTATGAATTAAATATCATGATAAAGTTTTAAATAAATAGGAGAATTGTAATTTATTTCAATTTATTGCTTATGGTTTTCAAAAGTTTCATTTAAGAGTGGGTAGTTGGTTTCATTATACTGTAATATTAAATTTTTAATTGAATGCGATCTTTAATTATTTGGTAATATGAAACATTTAAGGAAAATTAAAAGATTATTTTATTGGTTAATGGCTAAATTATTGAATAAGGACGTAATTATTTTTCCCTGACTTAGGTAATTTAATTAAAAATTAAAAAAATAAATTATCTTAATTGGTACACTCCAAATTCCAAAATAATTAATCCTAAAAAAAGTTTGAAAAAATAAAGGAGGAAAGGGAAAGGAACTTATCACTCGCCGAACTCAGTGCGTGGTCAGCATCACTTTCCGTCTCTCTCTCTAGACTTTTGCTCGAGTCACCACCACCATGGCCACAACTCTGATAAAACTGCTTAACGAAGAGAGAGAAAGGGAGAGAAATGCCTCTTAACGAAAAGAAAGAAGGGAAGATTTTATCCGGTTAAGTGCTAACCATATTTAACGAACCGTTCCGTCCGGTTCCGGTAAAAGCGCGCGCAACCATATCTTTCTCTATCTTTTGATTGAAATCGTTCGAGTTTCGATGGCTGAGTTGACTCAGGCCGAGGTGTACTCGCCTCGGTCGATGCAAGTATGGAGGGCGTTGTTGAACTGGCTGGCCTTTTTCTTTCAGATCTTCGCTCAGATCATCAGAGCCGTCGGTCAATATCCTTTGCTTTCTTCTTCTTCTTCTTCTTCATCTTCGTCGTCGACGACTTCGTCTTCCCCGCACCGTTTCAAGCCCTTGCCTGTCGTTGACTCGACCGAGATAGAGTCTCCCGCTACGGTCGAGATCGCTGCCGTTTTGGACTCATCTGTTTTCGCTGATGAAGACAGCGTCGAAAAACTCACGGTAGGAATTGAAAAAAAAAAATCATTTTTTTTCTTGAAATATAGAAATTTTATACTATTTTAGATTCTATTTTTCTTTAAATTAAGCAATAAAAGTGTTTTTTCCCCTGAGGAATTGGAGCATTATTGAATTTTAGTTACTCCAAAACAAATTGTTTTTTTTTAACAATAAAAAAGGGATCTTTTAATTATGTTAGAAAAGTAATTAGCTCTGTTGAACTGATTTTGCTTTAATTTAAGCTAAAATTTAGCTTTGTTAAGTTCTTTGAAGCAGCGGTTAAGCATTTCATCAAGATATTAAAACATTTGCTTATAGACTTATAGCTTTATTCAATTTAAGCATGAAAATAAATAGGGAATTTAAGCAATTGAGCTCTTTGGTTATTGCTTTGGGAGATGTAGAAAACATGAAAATAACTTGACCCCATTTAGTATTTTACTGTTATTAATAGTATAATTTTCGTGTTGATAACTTGTAAGTTTAAGTTTTTGAGTTGTGTATATCAGCCACTTTGGGAATTGAATTAATGTATTGGAAAGTTAATAACAAATATATATCAGGTGTGGGTCTCCAATATATTTAACTATCTCTTGTGCCTAATTTTTGGATGTGGAAGTTGTGTTAAGAAGCATAAAACCATGAGGGGATACACATGCCGTCTTTGATTACTTTAAGGTAAGGTGTTCAAAGCAGGTGAATGTGTAAACTCAAAAACGCTGTGTGTTGTATATGTTTTTATTATTTGTTTTGGTGTATCATTGTTTGCCGAAGTTATGGGCCTGATTGATGCTTCTGCAGGTAGTTCTTGACTTGGATGAAACCCTAGTATGCGCTTATGAGACATCTAGTCTGCCACCTGCTCTTCGCAACCAGGCAACAGATGCTGGATTGAAGTGGTTTGAGCTGGAATGCGTATCTTCGGACAAGGTTTCTTATGAATAATTGATTCTATTTTTTAAATGATGGCATTTATATGAGAGAGGCACTTTGTCATTTGGGTGCTTTGATCTATGAAGGAATTTGAAGGAAAGCCTAAGATCAATTATGTTACGGTGTTTGAGCGCCCAGGGTTGCAAGAATTTTTAAATCAACTAAGTGAATTTGCTGAGCTTGTACTATTTACTGCTGGCCTTGAAGGTTTGCTTATTTATTATGTTTTAATTTTTAACTTATTCTTCATTATTCATTTTTCTCCTTATTTTTCTTCCTCTCACTACCCCCTTCATGCATTTTCTCATGAATTATATTATTGGCTGCTCACAGGCTATGCTAGACCACTTGTTGACAGAATTGATGCAGAAAATCGATTTAGTCTTCGACTTTATAGGCCTTCTACAATTAGTACGTAAGTACTGCTTCCCGTGTATGCACCTTTAATAATCTTCTAGCCTACTCGCTGATTTGTAGATGGAAAAGATGAAACCTTTTCGTATTTTGTGTTAGCATTTGTTGTCTGGGAAATTATACCGACACTGATTTCTTTATATTCCATTGCCTATTATATATGCTTGGTCTTCTATCCTATGCTAAATGGACCCTGGTAATCATACTTTTGGGTGATTCCTCTCCCCGGGAAATCATGCATAATGGCCAAAATCTACTCATATTGAATGATGCCTTGAATCCAAAGCCTGGTTCTTGGATTACATGAATAAGTTCATTTTTTTTCCAGTTTATCTTGATATAAGATGAACGACAAATTAGTTCTATGCAAAATTTCATGAATTTGTTTTAAGCAGTGCTAAGGCGTGTTTGCTTAATGTTTGTATAGAAGGGATGCATTGGTGCTGGTGTTGAGATGTTTTTGATTGTTTTGTTTGATAATTATGGTGAGAATTTTTGTATTAAAGGTTTTGGAAAACATTATTAAGTCCTTTCATTTCCTATTTAAAATATAAAGGGATTACTTTAGGTGTCCAAAGACTCCCAACATGCTTTGTGCCAGGCTTAGATGGTTTAGGGCGAATTTGTGCCTTCCTTGTGTTGCATTTGTAAGCAAACTAGTTTTTGGTGATTATTAGTCTAGTTCCACTGAATATTTTATTGTTACAATTGATAAAGTTTTTCTTCTGACATAAATAGGGAGTATCGGGAGCACGTGAAAGATCTCTCCTGCCTATCAAAGGATTTATGCCGAACTGTTATTGTTGACAACAATCCTTTCAGTTTCTTGTTGCAACCACTGAATGGGATTCCATGCATTCCATTTTCTGCAGGGCAGCCACATGATACACAGGTACCAGGATGTCCATTATCTAAATCTCATTATCCTTATTTTGTATCAGTTTGTATAACATGTCTGATTGTTTGCTTTCCACCTCTACATCTGGTTTTATGTCAAAAAGCTTCTGGATGTCCTTCTTCCACTTCTCAAGCACCTTTCTCAGCAGAAGGACGTGAGATCTGTTCTCTATGAAAGGTTCCGCATGCCTGAATGGTTTCAAAAACAGGGTATCCCTGCCTCTGGTTGGTCAGTGTAGGAAGAAGACCATAGACAAGGCCTTTGGTTCTTCCATGTACTTTTCCTGCCAAGCTCTATTTTCCAAAAGGCTTATTATAGGATTAATGACCTTTTATATAGCACTTGACTTCTGGAGGAGTCAATGATAGCCATTAGAGACTTGCGGAAGGATTTATGTGATGCCATCTCTCATTCGATTAGGTAAACCATTAATGTATTTAGATCCACTGAAAATTCTTGATTCTTAGTGTAACTTTGTTTATAAGCTTGCAATTCTGTTGGATGTTTATGTATCTTTCAGAATTTTGTAAATTTCTTCTCAATCAATGATTATTTTGTAGTTTACACATCCTTTCACCATGTTGTTTTTATATTCGACCTTGTGCAAGAAGCCACGGCTGTTTTGTTGTCATTGGCTAGGAATTTTGGCCAGATGACCCAACTTTAAGTTGTTTCTCCTAACGGATCAATGGGGCAGGGAGGAAGATAGAGCACCTGCAAGCATGTTTATAAGGTTACTTTAAGCTGCAACACATTACCCTGTTAAGGTTTCGAATGCAGGTACCATCAATTTTTATAGCTGATGCTACCTCTGGTAGGAAAGGAACCGATCTTTAAACTCCCTTGGAGATGAGAAATTATTCGACTAAGCTTCTTATTGTTCTGCAAGTGCCTCCAACAAGGACAAGCTGCAAAAAGTAGGGGCCTTGTCAGGGGTAAAACCTTGTGAGCAACGCAGGCTCAGACACAGATGACATTCTTTTTGGAGCCCGAAGGTCATTTTTAGATACCATCTCTTACAAGTGTTATCACCCTACTCTAACTGCATTTGCAACTGATGACTGAACATGGTCCAGGTTGTTTGACACTCAAATGTCCTTGGTGGAGTAAACTTAGTTCAGATGGGTCTCCCTTAGATAACCCAGCACCTGCAGCAGCAGGAGGAATTAACAACAAACAATTGTGGGAACATGATCAGGGGGGCTTTTATATGTGCCATGAGATCATTACCCTCTCCCTAAAAAGTTAATTTATTGAGGTGTGCATCACTTTGGTTTATAAGCTCTTACCTGCTCGATGAAGTGCTTGGCAACTACCATGCCTACCTTCTTTTTGAGTGCCTGGTGTTGGTCAATTCTAAAATGAGTCCGCTTTCTAATATTACTTTAACACGGAGATTACTTTTAATACGGAGTTATTACTTCTACTGGAATGTGCATCGCCCACGTTTATAAGCTTCATAGAATCATCTTGCCTGCTAGATGTAAAATTGAAACACTAGTCTACTTTTTTTGAAGTGCTTGGCGTAACACAGGAGCATAGCTAAGGCTTCCAGTGTTCAAGCAGAGTTATGGGGTCTTAGAGAAGATCTGTGTTTGGCTAATAGTTGTGTGATCGGTTGATTGGAAATTGAAGTGAATGGTAAACTTTTATTGGATCTTGTTAACAATGCAGACGCTGCTGGTCACCCTCTAGGAACTTTGATTGATGGTTGCATGTCCATGATGAAGAAGCTTCAGAAGGTGACAGTCAACCACTGCTTTAGAGAAAGCAAAATGGCTGCTAATCTTCTAGCTAGGAAAGGGAACAACTCTGATTGTACTTCAGTTTCTGTTCTTAATGTTTTCCCCGAAGTGAATTCTGTGTTGTTTGCTGATATGTTAGCAGTATCTACTCCCAGAACTATGCATGGCTTTTAATTTTTTCAATGAAGTTCCTTTTAGAACCAAAAGGAAAATGTGCTAGCATAACGTCGAGGCAAAGTAGCAAGTGTGGTGACTGCCTATGAACATTGCATGGACCAAAGCTTGATCAATTTTCCAGAGGAGTAGGTTAGCACAAAACCTACCTGCCACCCCAATTACCCTAAAAGAAATCTTATCTAGTTCCATCCCTTGTAGCCTTTATCTGAAAAAGTTCACATTTTCCTGTCTTCCCTGATAGGAAGCAAAGACCTATGTTCAAGTATAAGTAAATAGTCTGAAACCAGGATTGGTGCAATCTGGAAATAGTGTAGCAGACATCTGAGCATGGCCACATGAAGGAGGGATGGTTTGGCTTTTGTTTAGTTTCAGACTTTTTGCTTGATAATTCTTTGGGAAATTGTATACAATTAGTTAGTAGATCGACAGCATGTTAGCAACTTAAGCCATCAAATTGGAATTTTACAGCTTTCCCTGTCCCCAAAAAGCAGCCTAAAAGCTCCCAAACATACATACACACAGTGACAGGAAGCAGCATCAGCAGTAGCATCTTCTTTTCCTGATACACTTTCCCCATGGTTATAGAATGGTTAAAGCCTGTAAAGACAAAGTTCAAGCGCTAGTTTATTAACTTTCTTCATATTTTCTGAGTCCTGAAGGTCCCTCTTTCCAACAGGACAGCATGGAATATAATGAAATTGGATTTGGGAAAACATCTCACATGGAGAAGACATCAGTTTGAGGAACAGAGAAGAACATTTCAGCCATTTTTTTCTCCCCCAAAAAGGAAACTGAGGATTCCAATCTCTAACAGATGATTACACTTGATTTCCATCAAGATTTGATGCTAAAAGTATGCAACAGGGTTTGCCACAGATTGTACATAAACAAATGCACTCTGTGCAAATTTTATTACCTCAAAAAACCAATGTTAGCATTTGTAATCCTTTGTGAAACAGCAATGATTACCCTTTTAACAGGTTTAGGGCCCGTGGAAATCAATTAATTTTCTAATTCCTCCTGTTGGCTACCTTGCTTTGTACTCTTAAAACTATGCTTTTTCTAGTCAACTTGATTCATTATCATGATGATGATATGGGCTTCAACTCAATTTCTTCCCCTCTTTTCCCATTCCTAATGAATGAACTGGCAAAAAAAATTTCAGGGTCTGAGCTGTTTCTTTATTTAGATTCCCCAAAATTTGGGTTTTTTTTGGCTTGAAAGAACCCTAAATTTCACCATCAATATGTACCATTTGAGAATCACAACTTTTTAAATACAAAAGGAACAAATGATTTGACACTTGAGGTGGCAAAATAAATTGATGTATACCTTCCCCTAACAAAAGTTTGAAACATTCTTTGATTCCTTGGAAATATATGTGCTAAAATTAAGTAAAATAATAATAATTTAATTCATATCTGTATCTGTTGGTTTATTTTTTTTATTTTTATTTTTTAATAAAATGTTGTAAAATCTTTATCTTAATTCCGTTAAACTCTAAAAGAAATAAATATTTAAAAACGAAGAAAGGATAAATTTTCGATAAAAGAAATTCATTGATTTAATAAATAAAAGCACTATGCTGAAAATAATGAAATGGTCCTCATTGTCATTCTTCCTAAGTTTCACATCAAATCATCACAAAGTTTCTTTTTTTTTTTTTTATTTTGTGTGTGAGAATCATGCCATCATTTCCATGTGAAAAAGTAAATGCATTAAATTAATTATAATATTAATAATTAGTTTAATAAATAAAGAAATCTTTTTTTCAATGTTTTCCAACTACTTCTACTACTTAACTTTCAATGGTACAGCAGTCTTGGTCAATAAACTAGAACTTGATTAGCTCATGTAATGTATGTGGACAAGTCCTCCTTAAAAGGAAGAAGAAGAAAGAAAGAAAATTCTTGAATTTTTATTTTATAAATTAATTTGACCATCCAATTTTTCTAAAAGATGACTTAATTTATATGTATCATGATCAATGTTTGCATGCTGTAATTGGCACCTACCAACAACTACAACTAACCTTTTTATATAATATATAAAATAAATATATTAAAAACCGTTCCTCGTTCCTTTTTCTAGATTTATCTTTTTTTTTCGGAATATCTTAATCTGAATTTTTTTTCTTTTATAAGTGCTTAATATTTTTACTTATATTTATATTATAAAATTATATTTATATAAAAAAGTTAAAAAAAGATAAACAAAAAATAAATGAATGTTAAAAGATTGTTCGGACGTCACAATATATGTTTCGAAATCCTTATTTTAAAATTTTATAAGTATACAATATATGTTTGCTTTGAATATAATTTAAATTTATAAGCAACATTATTTTAAATCTTTATCCAATTACTTCCTCTAAAAAATCAAAATAAATTATTAACATGTGAAAGTTGACTTTGGGTGTTCTTTATTTTATATAAAAAGCATGAAATATATATATATATATATATATGTACACAAAGAATACAAAAACATTGGGCAAAACCCAAATTTGTTTTTTTTTTAATTTCCCAAAATAAAACCATGGGAACATCGCATAGAACTTCACATCAAAAAACAAAAAACCAAAGCTTTCTATTTTTAGGGGGTCTTTCTCAAGAGTAGACTTGACCCATGAAAGCAACAAATGAACTTTGTAAGAAGAAACACAATCAACCCTTTATTCAAGGTGTTTGACTGAGTAATTTACACTTCAATTTGATTTTTTTTTTGAATTGATAGAAAATATAAAGATAATTGACTCTAGAAGATAAAAGATACCTCATTATATCAACATCTTGATTTGATTATATTCGACAACCTCTTTTAAAATTTATTTTTATAGTAATTTATTATCTGTCTATTTATAAGATAAAGTTCAAATCTCTTTTATTATATTAAATTTTTTCGAGAATGGTCAAATGAAACTTGTATTAAACTTCTTTTACTGGTCAAATAAAAGTCACAATTTTCTTTTTAAAAAAATTCATACTTTAGGAAAAAGTCTAAATTTTTTCGAAATTAGGTATATGTTTTATTAATTTACCAAACTACACCAAATATATGCTACATGAATAGTTCAAATTTTGAATAAATTTGATTACATTATTTTGATTATTTTATTTGAAATTTAAAACACATGTTTTATATTGTATGAACCGGTCGTTCAAAAATAGATCAAAAATCAAAGTTCAAATTTTTTTAATAAAAAACCTTATTTTTATAAATAATTAACACCACGTAAATACATAAGTTATTCAAAATTATTAATATTGTATTTAATTCTTTTTAGCCCTCAAATAAAAATCACATTTAAAAAAAAAAGAAATTTAATGCTTTAAGAAAAAGTCTAAATTGGGTCAAAATTAGGTGCCTGTTTTATTAATACATGTCGACTACGTGTCTGTTTCTTACATTTGATTATGTTTACGACAAGCGTGTGTCGGAGGGTCGTAAGCAATGTCTTTTTGTACACGTGGCAGACTTTTATGTGCGAGTAAGCCAGCGTAGCGAGTATGATTGTACTTGACTCCCACTTCCATTGCATGACTCGTTTGGCTGGTTCAAAATGAAAAGCTTTTTAGTTTTGAATATCCAAAAAAGAAAAAAAAGGATAGATTTAAAGTAGTGTATATATATATTTATATAAAAAAG